AGAGCTAAAGGACAGTTTCCAGGCCAAGTTCAAGCCCCATTATCGACAAAAAAAGAATAGAAAATGAGGAGCTGGGAAGGTAGCTCAGTGGTAGACTGATTGCCTTGCATTCCTGATGACCAGGGTTCAATTCCTCAGCATCATCTAAGCAGAAAAAGCCAGAAGTAGTGGTGTGGCTCTAGTTGTAGCGTGTTAGCTTTGAGTTGAAGAGCTGAAGGATATCACTCTGTACCAGAGTTTAGGCCAAACACCCAACAGAAAAAAAAATAGAAAATGAAATATGTAGGCATATTCTCAAGAATATGTAGGTACGTGAACACCATATCTACGGTGGCACTAATCAACACAGCCAAGAAACAACCCAGAAGCTCTATGGTGTCTGCAGAGAAATGAGTGAAAATGAGCATGGTCATGTGGAGCAAAGTCAGCTGGGTTCAGAGCAGTGGAGTCACAGGCCCAACTGTGGATGAATGCATAAAGAAGATTTAGCCTAGTCAGTCAGTGCTGGAGTCCCCGGCCAGAGGCGTGATCTTTAGATCCCGCCCCTCTGGGTGCCTCTGACGACCCTTCATCAGGATTTTTCTGTCTGAGGCACAGTTCAGTGCCCAGGATGATGAAAGCTGACATGAATTTTGAGGCTGAGATCAGATAGACCTAGAGGAAAAAGCTCGACTTTAATCAAGTGTTGGAACTCCAACACACACTTGAAGATCTCTCAGCAAGAGTAGATGTAGTTAAGGAAGAAAACCTGAACCTAAAATGAGAAGACCACGTTTTTGGACAATATATAGAAAACCTCATGTCTGCTTCTAGTGTTTTCCCAACAACTGACATGAAAAGCAAAAGAATGTAAGGGATTGAGTTCCCTTCTCATTTACAGAATTGCTGCTTCTCTCTCCCTCTTTCTCTGTCCCTTTTCTTCTCTCCATCCCTTCCCCCACCCTCCTTCTCTCTCCCCTTTAAAACTTGGGAAGATTCCAAATGTTACAGTACCTTTGTTTGTGGCTTCATTGAATGTTCATGAAAATAATTTCAAATCTAGGCAAAATTAGCTATTTAACAGGAGACTTTCATGAGTCTGTATATTATGTTAGTCTAAGAAAATGTGCAGATGTGTGGTAGAGACTTTATAATTAGAATTGCATATATTTATGAAACTTGAAAATGAATGTTTTTGAATTTGCTTTGATATATAGGCTTAGTCTTTTACTACATGCATACTTAAGTAAGATATAGAAGAAAATAACCATGTTGTGAAAATGTGAACAAAATAATGTACTGAATGCATAGCTTTATGTATGTACCTGTTCACCATTGTGTGCCTGTCCTCCATCTGCCTCATCCTCCCCATTTACCTTCTCCTAAGTCAAGATAGTTTCACATTTGTAAAAGTACTTTTAGTAGCAATCACCCGACAGTAATCTGATCTGTAAGTCCTGAAGTTAACCAAAACCTTGCCTAAAGTTTGTCAGTTGTACTTTCTAATAATAAGATAGGACTGATGGTTTCTCTTACTCATTTGAAAACAGATTTGGGCTATAAAGAAGATTTTAAGTTGAAACTAAATTTTCAAATTGAGATCTGTAGAAAAACAAAAAACCAACTTGCTTTTGCACCCAATAATCCACTTGCTATCTGAAAAGATAAGAATTTTGGTTTTGGGCTGGGAAGGTGGCTCAGTGGTAGAGTGCTTGCCTTGCCTGTATGAGGCCCTGGGTCCGATGCCTCAGCACCACATAAGCAAAAAGAAAAAAGCCAGAAGTGGCGCTATGGCTCAAGTTGTAGAGGGCTAGTCTTGAGCTGAAGAGCTGAGGGAAAGCGCCCAGGCCTAGAGTTCAGGCCCAACAACCGGACCCCCCACCCCTAAAAAAATAATTTTGGTTATGTATCGATTAGAAGTAGAAAGTCTGGGAGGAATACATATATATAGGTAATAAATAATGTAATAAAAGTAGAAACCAACTCCAAATGTTTTCACTCCACATTTGTATTTTCTCTGGCACCGAACAGATCTTCCTGGGAATATATATCTAAATATATGAAAATGGGTTAAGTTTGACTGATCTTACATACACCACATGCTATGATATTCCAGCTCTAGGGTTTGGTTGCAAGGTTCGTTTGTTGTACCTAGTCAATGAACTGTTACCAAATCACTTGAAGAGTATACTGGTACTAGAATCATGAATGAGAGAATTTTATATGTATAATAATTGGTAAGCTCATTATTTTTATCTCACTCTGTAAATGCAACTAATTGGTTGGTAGAATTTAGTCAGTCTCATAACAATTTCTAAAATTTAGTTCATAGATTTCATTTGGTAAAGAAATCAATATCAGAGGTAATATTAAGATATTATACTAGGAAATGAGATCCACTAATATAGCTTATGGTTATTAGATTTGAACTACTTTAATCATGGGATAATCTTATGTGTTAGTATAAGATTTCATAAATGACTTTAACTCTATGAAGATGTAATCGTCATACTGCAAACATCCCTTTTGCATCCCTTTTGTGACCTATTTTACAAATATTTAAAATTGTGTTGCATTTCTGCTTTGCTGTTTAAGAAAAAGGTGTTTCACACAAAAAAAGATGTAGCCTATTTCCATCACAAAGTACAACCAGGCCAGGAACAAGAAGGAAATCCTGTCATTTGCTGCCACATCTGTAGAACTACAGATCGCTGTGGAAAATGCAAGAAGTCAGACACAGAAAGGCAAATGCATTTTCTTGAAACAGACAAGAACAGGGCAGAGGAATTGTCAGCAAGACCAGAAGGGTCCAGGTGAGGAATGGTGTCCATGCAATGAGGTAGACCAGATACCCAGGGTGAGGAGGCACTGCTGATCGTCTCTTGAGCACAGTGACAAATTCTGCTTCAAAATCACCACTGCTAAGATGAAAATGAGTAGGGAATTAGAGAATGAAGCTACCTCCTCAGAAACGACCAGGCATGAAAAGAGATCACTCTGCTTTCAGGAATATGCATGAAATGCTTACCTCTAATCTCCAAATGGGTTCTCTAGGAATGAAAATCTTTCTTGAAGAAAAATGGCCATATTGCCAAAGAAACTCCTGTACATAAATGTCTCATTCTATTTTCTTTCTTTCTTTTGTGCCAGTCCAGGGATTTGAACTCTGTGCCTGGATGCTGTTGTTGAGCTCTTTTATTCCAGACTGGCACTCTACCACCAGAGAGTGGAGATAAGAATCTCATGGGCTTTCTTCACCAGGCTGGCTTTGAATCTTGATTTTCTGATATCAGGCTCCTTAGATTGCATCAGTACAGGGTTCCATTTTTCTTTTCAAACAGCATATATGATGATAAAACAAAAGCAGACTGAGATGAGGAGTCTGGTAAGGTGGCTCAGTGGTAGAGTGCTTGCCTAGCATGCATGAAGCCCTGGGTTCAATTCCTCAGCAGCACACACATAGTAAAAGCAAGTAATGGTGCTGTGGTGCCAATGGTAGAGTGTTAGCCTTGAGCAAAAGCAGCTCAGGAACAGTGCTCAAGCCCTGAGTTCAAGTCCCAGAACTGGAAAAAAAGGGAAGGGGCACTTTGGGTAAGAAACTTTGGTGACATATGGCTTACACACCACTGAGGTTATTTACACTCACCTAGCTTCAGGCCTCAGTGTCTCCTGCCAGCCTACTGGGATCCAGGAGAGGTAAGCGACTGCACCACTCCCCTGTACCCTGGAGAAGCACCCACAATGTAAGTGAAATTGTCACATGGGGGAAAAGAAAAAGTTTATTGAGAACATGGATTGCCATCTGAGGTGAAGGGAAAATCACCACTCCCATGGGAGACAACCTCAGCTGCCGCCCTCCTGGACCCCTATCTAAGGAGGCCTTTGAAGCTCTGAAGTTCCCATGTGTGTCTCAGAAATGACCCGCCCTGCCATGCACATCCTGAGAGAAGAGGCCAGCATTTGTATTCACTGCCACTGGAGAGGCGCAGCCTGCAGGAGAGACCCCAGGTTCCACACTCTGGGTAAGTGATCACCTTAGGGGCAGGGATTCCAGATTGAAACCGGTTGCATGTCAAAGAAACAGGGAAGGATAGGAATGGGCTAGGACAGTGAAAAGAACTGTGGTTCTAGGCCCCTCACCCCCAAGCCCTGTTGGTTCCTAACTTTCCTCTCCCTCACAGAGTCTGTTCTGGTTTATGACAAGTGAGGAGGAATCCTGAATGTCCAGGGGCTGGGGAAGATGTGTTCACATCAGTGACTCTAGAATGGCATTTGAACCTAAAATTGCCCCTCTCTGTCACTGTCATCCAGCTCCACCTTCACCCGCACCATCCCCACCACAGACCTGGTTCATCTTCCTGGTATTTCTTCTGTGAAATGTGGGCTCCATGTTGAGGAAACAGTGACACCTGGGACCCACTCCCACAGCCAGCCTATTGAGGTATAAGTGCATGTGACCCTGGGAACCTGTCACTCATATTCCAAGTTCCTTTCTTTAGTCGGTCAGAGAGCTTGAACTCGGGGCTTGCCCATGTTCCTTGAGCACTTTTTGCTCAAGGCTAGGCCTCTACCACTTTGAGCCACAGGTCCACTTCCAGTTTTCTGGGGCTTAACTGGAGAGAAGAGTCTCATAGGCTTTCCTTCTCTGAGCTGGCTTTGAATTGGGAATCCGAGGTCTCAGCCCCTGAGTAGCTAGGATTACAGGCTTGAGCCACTAGGGCCTTGCTTGTTTAGAATCTTAGATCTGATTCTACAGAGGAGAAATGTAGCTGCCTTCATCTCAGAACCTTACTCACCTTCACTTAATGCCATTTCTCCAGGTTCACCCATTTCCCTGAACATGCCATCTTCCTCTTCCTGATGGATGAATAGAATTGGATTTTTCCTAATACATGAGAAATAGTCGGACAGTATTTCCAGTGGCCCGAATGCTGAATGGAGAATGTTGAATTTCCTTGGCACCATGCAGGCCTCAGTTTCCTAAGCCAGAGCCTCTGGATGAGAATCAAGGAACAGAGAGGATGGCAGATGCCCATGTGTCTATGGGGGTGATCCTCTTAGCCCAGACTGTGGTTGGGTTTGTGGGTAATTTGTCTCTTCTCTCCCATTATCTATTCCTTTCCTGCATGGGGAACAGGATGAGAGCCACAGACTTGATTCTTAGGCACTTAATTTTGGCCAACTTCCTATGTCTTCTGTGTAGGGGTGTTCCCCAAACCATGGTGGCTTGGGGCTGGAGAAATTTCTTCAATGATATGGGGTGCAAAATGGTCTTCTATCTTTACCGAGTGGGCAGGGGGGTGGCAATAGGTAGCACTTGCTCCCTCAGCATCTTCCAGGCTGTGAGCATCAGCCAGGGGGACTCCAGGTGGGCAGGGCTGAAGGGGAGAGCCCACAAGCACATTGTGTCCACCGTCTACTTCAGCTGGGGGGTTTTCCCCCTGGTGAGCATTGTTTTTCCCATGTACATCACTGGATGCAGAGCACACAACAACATGACGATCTTAAAAGCCTTTGGATACTGTTCTTCTGTGCGTCATGATCCAACTGAGGATGTGCTTCACATGACCATGCTCTTGGTGCCTGATGTTCTGTGTTTGGGGCTCATGCTCTGGGCCAGCACCTCCATGCTTTTTGTCCTGTACAGACACAAGCAGAAAATGCGACACATCCAGAGGACCAGTGTTTTCACCAGAGCCTCTCCCGAGTCCAGAGCTACCATAAGCATCCTCCTCCTGGTGACTGCCTTTGTCTCCTTTTACGCTATGTCCTGCATCTCTCAGATTTGCTTGTCTGTGATTTACAACCCCAGCCCTGTGCTGTACCTTATAGCGGCATTTGCTATGGGCTGTTTCCCAGCCCTCAGCCCTTTCCTGCTCATGAGCAGACACTCCACTCCCTGCAGCCTCCTCTTCACCTGCACAAAGAAGAAGAAAGTGGTCCTCCCCTGAGGACCACCAAGCTTGCATCTCAGCTGAACTTTGCTTGGCCCTTCAACAATCTCCACACCTAGGTAAAAGTCATCTGCTGAGAGATAGAGGTGTGCACACACGTCCACATCTGCATATTTGTGTACTATATATCTGTGTGTGTGTTCATCTGTCTCTATTTTGCTGGCCCACAAAATTATATGAAAGTGGAAATGTTAGATTTTGAAATAGTGCTTATTAGGTCATGTCAACTTCTCCCAGAGAATCTGTCCCATTACCTGGTGGTGGTTTCAAGTTCAAGATAAACTGTTTAAACTCACCTAACATTTTTTCCTAATTCCATTTGGAATCTTTTGATTTTTTTCTTTCGTTCTTTAATAGTTACTTATGCCACAAAGCAAATCATTCTTAAAGCCCTTTCTGTTCTGGAGAAAAAAGTATTTGGAAAGGAAATAGCATCTGGGTGTTGGTGGTTGATGGCTGTGTTCTGAGTTCCTGAGAAGGTGAGATCTAAGGATCATAGTTCAAAGCCAGTCTAGGGAAAAATTTCTCTTAGACTGTCATCTCCAATAAACCACTAAAAAAGGGAGGTGGTGTTGTAGCTGAAGTGGTAAAGCGCTAGCCTTGAGCAAAATTGTCCTAGGGATAGAACAGAGGCTCAGAGTTCAAGCCCCAGGACTGGTACAAAGATGGAAAGAGAAAATGAGGGACACAGACAGACAGACAGACAGACTGACAGAAGGAAGGAAGGAAAGAAGGAGGGAAGGAAGGAAGGAAGGAAGGAAGGGAGTCCTGCTGGTGTAGCACTGACAGCAAACATCAAGGCTCCTTCCTGACAGTTACTCCCCTTAGTCTTGTCTGTGCTTATTTCTTCCACATAATTTATTTTCACAACTCTTTATTTTCCTTGGCAGTCTATGTTACGTATCTCAAGACTCTCTGCTAATTTAACAAGACATTAAGTGTACTTTTGAAAAGCACATTTTTAAATGTAAAGTTGTTTTTTACAGCACTGAGGCTCCTTAAGAAAATCCCTCGCTTGGCTATTGTGACATTTCCTGCAGTGCTTGTCATGTCCCTTATTATGAGGTCACTTTACCACAGCCTCTGGAGTGCCGGTGAGGGCTGCTGTGCTGAATGACAGGCAGGGCCCTCCAGTCCAGCGCTCTTCACCTCCACCCTTTTCTTCTCAGGAATGTATATTACGGTGACAGCAAGCCAGAAGTAGCACTGATGTCCCAGGGACAGTCACCAGCCCTGACCACAAAAGCTCAGAGATAGGACCCAGGCCCTGAGTTCAAGTCCTGGGACCAGCACAGAAAAGGAAAGCAAGCAGATGGCAGGCTTGCCTCCAGGAGCCATCCAGGGACTATTCACGGTGTTGAGTGGACTGTGGGCTCTGAGCCAGGTGCCTCCTCCTGATCCTGAAGTTCCCACAGCCACCCCACCACAGAAGAGCTTGAACCACAGGCCCCGCTGTCCCTGCACTCCCTCCCCCGACAGTGGCTTTAGCCAGATTCTGTATTTGCCCCACGCCCTTAATCCAGCCCAAAGTCATTCCACACAGCACACGCATGCTCTGGGCTCTTTGGGGAGCTGTCTGGTACCATCATTAACCTCACACACACCTGGTCCTCTCCTGACCCCTGGTGTTCCCATCCCCAGAGGTCCTCCTCATCTGTATCACCATGGAGAGCTTGGATTTGGACTTAGCCTCTTGACCTAGGGGCAGCGCATCCTCCACCAGCTCCCTGCCTTGTGAGGGGACGCAGGCTTTCCCTGCCCCCACCCCACCCCCTCTGAGCACCTGCTACCCAGGAGAACCCCACCCTCCACCCACCTCACACTCTGTCTTGATCCTGATCCAAATCCAAGACAACCCACACCCCGCACTTCCCCTCCCCCACAGCGCTCAGCAACACTCCAGGAGCTTTTCCTCTTTTTTATTTTTGGTTGGCCATGGGGCTTGAACTCTGGGCCTAGGCACTGTCCCTCAGCTCTTCAGCTCAAAGTTAGGCTCTGCATCCCATGCATCCCTGCAGTCCACTGGAAGCACAGCCGCCGGTCCTCATGCTGCCGTGCAGCCCTGCCTGGACTCATTACTTCTGGAGAGTTTGCACATTCAGGATGTCTCTCTCCATTTCTATCTCCTCTTTCTTCCTGAGCACCCTCAGTTCTGCGCCACTATCTTGTACGAATCCCTTTCCTGTCTGCTGTGTCCTTGCCACAAGGTGGCCAGATCCCCGGACTCCTTCTCCCCTGCAGCACACCTGCCAGCCAGAGCTCACAGCCAGCTCCTGACTTGGCTTTATTCACAGCAGCACCTTGTGACTATGCTCAATATGAAGGAGGGATCAGACCCGCCCACCTCTCACTCCTGGGGATGACTTGAAGCTCCTGACAAAGTCATTCTGGAAAAATGGGTTGTTACAGAAAGGTACGACTCAGTCCGTGAACCAGCTGGGAGGTCAGCTCCCCCCCACACCCTGCATGCTTAGATTGGGGGCTCCGGGCCCCACCCCTTGTGCACCTCCTGCTGGTAGAGCATGCCACACTGTGGTGGCCATCCTTGCAAAACAACCAGCCTGAAGAAGCGCTGCCATTGGGATCAAAACAGCGGAATCCAGAAGGGCCAAGAGAGTCCTGTTCTGAGGAGGTTTTTGGAGGAAGTGCTCACGCCAGGTCAGATCTGGGAGTAACTATTGACTGACGCCTAGCACAGGCACCATCTGACTTCTGTTCCTGGGTCTCAACTGAGTCCAGGCATGATGGTAGCCACGATTGCACACTGGACACACCTTGCCTAGTCCTGTCCCTACCAGACTGTATCTACCTTCCCATTGTTTCTACTTCATTAAAATCCCTAACTACTCACTTCTTACAGCTGATAGTGCCTTGGCAGAGAAACCTTTAAAGCAGATGGATCCTTGTTATAATGACTTTTTTGGGGGGAGGGAAGCAGCAGAAAATCAGTAGTGGGGCTTGAACTCAGAGCCTGGGTGCTGTCCCTGAGCTCTTTTACTCATGGCTAGTGCTCTACCACTTGGAGCTTAGTGCCACTTCCAGTTTTCTGGTAGGGAATTGAAGAGTCAGCTGGACTTTTCTGCCCAGGCTGACTTTGAACTGTGATCCTCAGATCCCAGCCTCAGTCACTAGGATGACAGGTGCAAGTCACAGGTGTCCAGGGTCTTACTCTTCAAATGATCCACGACTGTTTGAGCCACACTTGCAATTTTGGGTGGAATGTAACTTGGACATGGTGCATGATCTTTCAATGCTTGTTGAAATATTTTACATATGAAATATTTTATGAAATATTTTACATCTGTGCTCTTCAAGGAAATAGGTGTCTAATCTTGTCTCTAGTCTGTTCTCATTTTGGTATAAGAGGGAGTTTGGTAGCCTTCTTCCTTTCCTAGTTTTTGAACCTGTATGAGGAGCATTGGTGGTAACTCTGAACACCTGGTGGAACCTGTCAGTGAATGTATTTACTCCTTGATTACAGATATAGTTAGGTGACTAAAATCATCTTGGGTCAAACCTGATGGGTCCAACATGCAAAGAAGTGAATCCATTTCTTGTATATTTTCTAATGTGTTGGATTAACACAAGTGACAACTTGAATTTAAACTGTTAGGACATTCTAGTTTTCTTAGTTGATGTCTTCACTGTTCTTGGATTAAGGCTTGTCAGTCTTAGCTATCTTACCAAGGAAAGTTCTTACCTTCCCTGATTTTTTTTTTGTCAGTCCTGAGGCTCGAACTCTGGACCTGAACACTGTCCCTCAGCTCTTTAGCCCAAGGCAAACACTCTATCACTTGAGCCACAGTTGCCACTTCCAGTTTTCCGGTGGTTTATTGGAGATGAGTCTCATGGACTTTCCTGCCTCGGCTGGCTTTGAACCATGATCCTCAGATCTCAGCCTCTAGAGTAGCTAGGATTACAGGCATGAAACAGCAGTGCTCAGCTTCTTTCACAGATTTTTTTACATTGTTCTTTTAATCTCCATTTTTTTCATTTTTACCCTGATTTTGTGTGTGTGTGTGTGTGTGTGTGTGTTTATGTGTGTGTCTGTCCTAGGGCTTGAACTCAGGTTCTGGGTACTGTTGCTAAGCCTCTTTCCCTCCAGGCTAGTGCTCTACTACTTGAGCCACAGCTCTGCTTTGTACATTCTGGGGATGTTTATTGATAATAAGCCTCATGGACATTTCTGCTGTCTTTGAACCACAATCCTAAGATCTGAATTTCTGGAGTAGCTCTGATTTGTGGTGAGCAGCCATCAGTGCCTGGCTGGCTCTATGCTGATTTTTATGATTATCTTTCTTTTCTGCTGGGGGTGGGAGGGTCCAGTTGTGGGGCCTGAACTCTGGGCCTGGGCACTGTCCCTCATCTCTTCAGGTCAGGCTAGCATTCTACCATTTGAGCCACAGTGTCACTTCTGGCTTTTTTCCCTGCTTATGTGCTGCTGAGGTATTGAACCCAGGGCCTCAAGCATATCACCATGTGCTCTACCACTGAGCCACCTTCCCAGTCCTTATGATTCTTTCTATCCACTGTTCTGGGTTTGCTTTTAGACTGTGCTTCATCGGTGATTGCATTAGAGACACCTGACTGTTTTCATGCCAGGCCCGCACAGCTGTAAATTCCCTGGGAAGCTTTTGCTGCATCCCAAAAGTTCTGGAAAGTTGTGGTATTGTTTTGATTCTTGAATTTGTAAACTAGTTCCTTGATTTGATCCTTAAGTCTTATGGCTGACTTTGGGCTCGACAGCCTATCACTTGATGAGAGGGGGTCTTAAGCCAACATTCTAACTTGGTCTGGACTTACGAGTCCATGTCATCCAGTAGTACTAATTCATGAAACCGGGGCAGCAGTAGGCATCTGTGTGCTGGCTCCCTGTGTGTCAGCAGAAGGTGATGGTCTTTATCTCATCAACCTAACTTGGGTTTGATGTCTCCCCTGCTCTCGTGGGACAAGCAACTAGGAATTCCTTTCTGGTCAGTTCCCATTTGCTTGGGACAGTTTTTCACCCGGAACTTTCAGTTTTCAGTCTT